ACTATATTACAATGTTTTTATATCGGCGTACGGGGTAATTTGAATACATTTTATGGGGCAATTTGGATAACACACTCAGTTCCCTAATATATATATTTTAACTGTTTTAAGACTATTTCGTTATTTCAAATGGTGCGCGACATTATGAAAAAAGGATGATATCGCTTACATCATTATTCTTCGCGGGTGGCTCAAGGAAAGCGCGATTAAATTAGTGATTTGTGCGTGAGTCACGGTACATCGTTGAGGATACATCGAACTTTTTTCTTTCATCACGTGACCGTCGTTCCTCGCGACTCAACGTGAAAAATCATTCACTTCGTCGCTTGATAACCGTGCGATCACGCGGTGAGAGGAGAGAGTCATCACTTTGAGAGTGCATAAAGAGAACGGATTGACAGAAGTAGCTAAGATATTTTTTTTTTAAATAGAGATGAAGTTAATGTCGTAGATAATTTATCGACTTAGGATACAGAATGAGAAATATGTTGCGGGAAATGTACAGCCAGAAACAAATGACGTTTTGGTACTCAAACTAGCATAATAGTGCCCTAACTTTAGTTATACACGGAAAAAAAGGTTTGGTTGAATTAACCAAATATCTGGTCGAATATGAACGATCCAGAAATTCCGATTGAAGTAACCCGAATTCTGTTTAAGTTAACAAGATTTTTGGTTGACTTAAGCAGAATTCGGGTTACTTCAATCGGAATTTCTGGATCGTTCATATTCGACCAAATATTTGGTTAATTCAACCAAACCTTTTTTTCCGTGTATGAGTTTTCCTTTTTTCCTAGTTTGAGTACCAAAACATCATTTGTTTCTGGCTGTACATTTCCCGCAAAATATTTCTCATTCTGTATCCTAAGTCGATAAATTATCTACGACATTAACTTCATCTCTATTTAAAAAAAAATAGCTACTTCTGTCAATCCGTTCTCTTTACGCACTCTCAAAGTGATGACCCTCTCCTCTTACCGCATGATCGCACGGTTATCAAGCGACGAAGTGAATGATTTTTCACGTTGGGTCACGAGGAACGACAGTCACGTGATGAGAGAAAAAAGTTCGATGTACCCTCAACGATGTACAGTGACTCACGCACAAATCACTAATTTAATCGCGCTTTCCCTGAGCCACCCGCGAAGAATAATGATCCGAGCGATATCATCGTGCGAAACTTTCGCAACGCAGTGGCAAGGATCGATAGCGCGCCGCGATGGTGGTCTCTTCCCTCGTTGCACGCCGGACGTCTCCTTTTTTCCGCCGTACGTGTCAGTTCTGCGCGACTCTTCGCGACTTCTCTCTTATATGCCGATTCACGAACAGAAAATTACGACGCAAGGCAGCACGCCGGACTAACGATGAGTCACTCATGAGAGGAGCGATCCACCTACGAGCGATTGGCATCGGCAGGAAAGCTTCATTAGACGTCGCGCGAGAACACGGCCTGAGTTCGAGAAATAACCGTGATTTATCGTTACGTCACAAAAACGCGAGACTCTGTAGCTCTAGCTGGCTGTCGCACATGTCATACTCCTGTCAGAAGGTTATTAATAAACACCATCCTGCCCTATCGCCGCTACCGCACGATTGATTCACGGTTAACGTCGATCCAATGCGAAGCCTGTCTCCGGAGTACTTTGATCCTACTCCCTGTCATGCCGGATATTATTTGTTACGTTGCAAAATCTCTCTGTCTCTCTATTCCCTCCCCCTCTCTCTCTCTCTCTCTCTCTCTCTCTCTCTCTCTCTCTCTCTTTCTTTCTTTCTTTCTCTTTCTCTCTCTCTTAGCAAAATATTTAACATCGTGTCACAAAAAATAAAGATAAAAAAGTCATTAAATCCTCATTAAAATATTGTCATATAACGATCACGTATTTAGTGCCACAGTACAAAAAAAAAACGAAAACAACAAGACTCAAGCTGTAAGCGCATCAATCAATCAATGAACAGTCGGGAATTTTAACATGACAGTCTTAAGTAGTTTGTACATAGAAAAACGTAAACAGCAAGGACTCGAGTAGTAAATGAACTAATCATATTCGAGAATTGTCGACAACGTAAGACTGGGTTGAAATTCTTGACTGTGATTGAATAATTCGTTTACTGCTTGGGTCTCGCTGCTTACATTTGTTGCTTGTATGTGTGTGTCACGGTGCTTACACGCAAAATAATAATTTAGTACTATCAGCTAAGTTATCTCAATAGCTATTCCGGGCTCAGGTACACAGTTTTGCTGTAATCGCTAAGAGTCGATTTCCCGATAAATATACGTAAACTTTACAACAATTTTAAGGTATCTCGAGCTACACGAAATGTAGCAACATATTTACTCCCTTATGACTGATCAGATTGCAATTATATTTACAAACTATACAATGAAATAATAATAATGCATATAAAATCAGTAAAATTTACTTAATACAATGTGTCAATAAATATATTAAAAATTTAGAGCACATATCATTTTCATGTAATGTAAGTTAGAAATTGACGACACTTCTACTTAAAATTTACATCAGGCAATAAGTGGAAACAATTAATTCTTTTTTTTTATTCATATTTACGTCATATTTTCCTCATGTCATTTATATTTACTTCATATATCTCATGCTATAATTATTTATTAATTTAAATTAATTATTTAATTAATTATCATATAAATATGATCTTACAAGTTTGTTTCTTAGATATATCGATATAAATACCCGTTTGCGTCAAATTTGACGTAAAATTGACTATTTCTTTATTCGAAATAAAGATTAGATAAATGTGAGATATATTCGAAACAAATGTATTGCGGCATTATTATAATGAAGAATTTAAATTACGGCATTACGTAAATTTGTAGTTCGTTTCAGATAAATTTATTTAATTCTTTATATGTAGATAAAGTTATCAAAAATCGGACAAAAATTAATTATCACATATTGTGATCATTATAAAAATCTATCGGCACTGTTACAAATAAAATATTGCAAAGTAAAAAATTATTACCTTAAATAGTAACGTTAGCGCTGATAGCTAAAAGTGGTAAAATGGTCATTCTGAAATATCTTTTCCCACATATGTATTAAAAGAATACCAAAATTCACCCTAATCTTGTGCGAAACATTCATCTTTGTGATTTCGAAAATAGTATTCTCACTGTCGAATGAAAATACTGCTACTTTCTAGTCCAAGAAATTTAGAGAATACGTGGTACTCCACTACAACGACAATTGCTCATATATTCTGCATATTGTTACATTATACAAAAATATTTATAAAAATGTGATCTATTGATTAGTAAAAATGAATGTTACAAAAATATATTTATATATATATATATATATATATATATATATATATATATATGTGTGTGTGTGAGTGTGTATTATAAAAGCATTTTGTATGTTTAAATCTATTAAATCACAAATATATATATATATATATATATATATATATATACATATATATATATATATATATAAACGTGCAGAAGCAAGTATTCCGAGTTTGAATTATGTGTAACTATGTGTGTGTGTGTATTACATAAATTAACATATACGATTGTTTAACGAGGCGTAATACCAACTAGAGAGCACCAATCTATTATAAATAAAATAGCACACAAATCACACGTCGCAATAAAAATCAGTGTATCATACATATTTTTCATGAACATCATCTTTATGACCAATATGAGTCATGAATGTTACACACATAGATTGTATGCACGTATAAAACCTTTGTGCTGTTTCGACGTTGCACATATACGGGCGTAAAAAAACATGAATCATGCAATATTTTTGTTGCTTTACAACATATGTAAAGCCATTAAATTGATGATAGACCTCTACTTATTAGACCCTTCCACTGATCTTTTTACTGCGTGTACGTTTTCTAACTTGATCGTCCAATTCGCTTGGCATCTTACTACTTATGTGTTTTTATGTATTGTGGCCCTTAGCGTTGAACGTTTTCACGTTTGTCAGTCTTAGACGAAGGACATATTATCGCTCCTTAAAAGTCAGACGGCCACGTTTAACGTCACACACAGATGCAATCCGAACACAAAGCATTGTGGCCGGGAACATACAAAAAAGCACAAGCAGTGGAACTTAAGCGATAAGTAAATTGACTGACCGTTTAGGCCAGATGCACGAAAAAAGAGCGCAAACAGTAAAATTTAAGTAGTAAACAAATTGATGAACCACAGTCGATGGTTTTTCTTACGGTTCAAAAGTAATCGATCGTGATTAGTGTTTTCTTAATGTTTACGCTTTACGGTATACCATCCGCTTTATTCTCTCCAGATAGACTTTCACAATCATCACGATGTGAGACAAGCGATGATGGAAACAATTATTTTAGTTAAATTTAAGAGAAAAATATATCGCATTATATTAATCGTTAAATTTACGTCACATGATGATCACATAATAACAAAATACATTTCTGTGTTATATTGACGCAGCAAGAAATTTATTTAAAATTACTCTTAAATTTTCATGTTACATTTTATATGACATATTATTTCAAGCAAATTTTCATCATTTCTTTCATATTTTTTTTGTATTTCTATTTCGTTCTATATAATAAAAAATATGAATATCATATGAATCATTCGTAAGGAATGCTACCTTTACAAATCAAGTGGTGAAGTTACTGTCAAATTTATACACGCCTGTCTATCTGAGTCCAGGAATAATCGATTATGATTAATTTAATTTTCTTAATACTTAAGTCTCATTGCTTACGTTCTCTCGTATACCACAGATCCGCAAATTGTTAGTATTTGCTTCGTCCAGAATGTAAGATAAGTCTCATACAGCCCTATAACGGTGATTGTTCGTTAACGACTGTTTGGAATCTTGATTCCGGCGCTAAGCAAATTTACCGAGTAAACAGCGCGTTATGATGAATATCTCGAATAGTCAGACATTCCGAGGGTTCCAAGCTATCCCAGAGGACTCTACGAATCAAAATTAACTACTAATCGACTAGCTATTTACCTCTTCACAAGCTGCTCTTTATAAACCACTTTCGGCTCACCCGTCGAGGTCCCGTCTCCTTCACGTCCTGCAGGAAACGCGCGAACGCACCTCAACAAATCGCATCCTAGCCACGGGACGATAGTTCGAGTTCGATTTGAATCAACGGACCACGCAACGATTCCAGATGAAGGAACAGGAAAGCAACTGGCCGGTGGTCCAATGTGATTTATCGCGTAGTAAAAATTACTATCGAATTTCTTTAACCAAAAAACACAGCGACATTCTACTTTAATTTATCTTTTCATTTCACACATGCACAGAGTTAGGTAATCTAAAAATCGTCAAATCGTCAAATCTCTTTAAGACAAAAACTCGCGGAGGTATAATCGCGCGATCTCGACGCTCGCGCAATTTCACTGCTCCTCGATGCGACTCGGTTACACCGCAACGCGGAAATTCGGCCGGGCCAATTGCCCGCGGTCGTCGCCCGAGATAGAAGAAACTCGCTTTCAAACGGAAGCCGCAATTTACCTGCGTAAGTGTCGGACGTGCCGTTGACAAAGCTACACGAGGACGCGCGCGGAGCGGAGCGGAAGAAGAGAGAAGGACAGAGAAGAGCGCGAAGCCAGCGAACGTCCGGACCGCGTGGCGTGTGCGCATCGACTGCTAACTAACTTCAGCCGAGCGCGAGCTTCGGGCGCGATCGCCCACTCGCCGTCCTCGTCGCACCGACAGCCGCTGCTCGCTTCGCCATCTCGCTCGCGCTCACTTATCCGCCCGCCTATCGTTCTACCTGCTGTTCCTCTCTTTCTGTCCACGTTATCGTCTTCTTTCTCTTCCTCCTACATTCTCTCTCGCCCTATGCGTCAGGCTCGCCTCGTCCTTCCCCTCCCGTCCTTCCTCTCTCACTCTCTCCTCCCCCCCTTCGCATTGCCAGCCGGAATATCGCGCGTCTTTCTTCAGTGACGGATTTAAAAGGAAAACTGCGATGAAAGCATGAGAATCGGGCTAATTTTGTGCATAGGGTCCGCGTTTAGAAGTATAAATGATCGACACACGGAGAGAGAATATGTTGCAAGCTTCTCTTCATGTAAAATTCTTTCCAGTTTTATCGTGTCTTCTGACAATGCAGCAGTTCCATTCCGTCGTTTTTTTAACGTTTCATGCGTTTTGCGTCGTCGCGCAAGGTGTTACGCATCACGTGAGAGCTGCGCGACGACGTTCTAGGATAACGATGTTATTGTTAAAAATTGCAAATGTATGCACAAATATAGACTGTTAGTAGAGTTTATCTTGCTCAGGAACGCGGTACATTTTTTAATAGCAGACTTCAGTTTCTGACATACAAAAATAGCACATATGCGGTTATAGGTAAATTCATATTTTTAACTAGGTTAAGTTTAAAATTAACGCGGTTTATAAAATTAACCTAGTTAAGATGAAAGTTACATAAACAAAAACTAACAAACTATAAGTCAAGTTAAAGTTGAATTGGCTCGTTGAAGTTAAAAATTGATTGTGTACAAAGCAATATGTGTTCTGCATAATTAACTTTATAATAATAAGTTAAATTTATATGAAGAAAAGTGTGTGTAGTCTACAAGAAATTATCGATTACGTTTTATACTGAGGATTCCGCACAAAAAAAGAACACGGAAGCTTAAACGAAAAAAGATTCTGTTGACATTATTTCTGGTTTTTCTTATTCTATTTCTTATTCTACATTACAAACATCCCGCAATAATTTTAATGTTGATGCATTATTTTTTTACTTATATAAAAGGAGTTAATAAGTTAACGCATTTCAAAACAACTAGTTTAAGTTGAAAGTTGAAACTAAATAAGTTGCGTTAAAAGTTGACTTTTTAGCTTAACTTTCAATTGATTCACCAGTTATTACCTAACTCTGTACATATGCGAAACAAAAAGATAACAAATTAAAGTAGAATGTCGCTGTGTTTTTCGGTTAAAGAAATTTGACAGCAATTTTTACCATAAAAATATATCTTACGTGTGTCGTTTTCAAGATTCACCTCTGCAGAGTCGAGACAACGTGGTAAAATCTTTTCGAGCTTATCGAATGCTCGACGCGTCCCAAACGAAAGAACGTAGAGCGTAAAATTTGATCTTACAGCTCAGATAAAAACAAATGGTTTTCAATTTCGACAAACGTTTTCTCCGCTGAAAACTGTCTACGACATCCCCGCCCTTTTCTCCTACCTCACCTCTCGGTTCCACCGTCACGCATATCTCTGCTCCGCACGTTGACTTACCTGTCGTCGCGTACCGCGCGCTAAGACGCATCGCTATTTTCGTAATCAGAGGTACACGTTTTCTAGGAAAGTTGCGTCGACACGCGCTAACGCTTTGATCGATGCGCTCGGTTGCAGTGGCATGCACTAACAAATGGAGCGGCGAAAGTTGGCGAAAATTTATAGGAAGTTCGTGTTGCCGCGTGCGCGCACCCAGGCGCATGTCGCTATGTCATCCTTAGAAGTTAGCGAGCCGAAAGTCGCGGCTTTTATTTGGGGCTGCAAGACATCAAGGCGAGCACACAGCGGCGGTTCCACAAACTTCTTGGATTCTACACTCTCAAAATGGAAATCGAGAACGTACACTTGCGTCATCCCTTTTCTGTCCGCACCCGTCTCCTGTTTCCCCGTGATATTCGATTCTCGAGCGTGACTTTTTACAGACTCTCCCCCACGTCACTCGGGGAGTACGAGCGACTAAAAAACGTCTGAGAATAATTACTCCGAGGATTTTCTCAGGGAACTCTTCCGTTGAAGATATCTCACGTTTCTCAATTAGCGAGAAATACGGACGAAGAATGATGGCAAACTTGAACTTTTACGTTGATATGACAATGAGAGTAATTTCTTCAGAATTTCCCCGTGTCTTCTCGCGTTGAAAAAGGTTGAAATTTTACCCTACCGCACCATTAAAGGACACCCGACCGTGAAATACCGCCTTTAAGCGTTTCCGCGCGTTGCCACGCGGCACGTGGGCGGAAAAACAGGTTTTCAGGAAATGTATGTGCGTGCACAAAAATGAACAAACCGTTGCTTTGTTTAATAACAAATCCGACAGAGCTATTTATTACTCTTATATTAGTATTATTATTTATTTTTTATATATTAGTTTTTATTAATATTATTACCGAAATTGCGCTTAGATGGTTTTAAAATCATCTAGATGGAGATGAGGTAGAAATATATAAATCCATCTTAGATGAGATGGAGATAGTTTCGCTTTTAAAACAGCTAGATGAAAGATGTAATGGTTGTGCGATTCATCTAAATTGTTTTTTTAGATTTTTTTAAGATAATTTACACAAAAAATGTTGTGCAAATAATAAACAATTTACATAAAAGATATTGTGCAAATAATAAAAAGGACACATAAACAGTACTCATAATTTTATTTATAAGTTTTTATTTTCTAAGAACAAGAGTTTTTCAAAAGTATGATAAATTATTTCTACGAAATATACAGGGTGTCCCGCGTAAGACGGACCAAAAGAAAAATATAAGTAGAACACATTAAAGTGAACAAAAATTATATAGGCCATTTTTCAAACAACTACGTGAAATTTCGAGATATTAATTAAAATAGTTGGACAAATTAGAACGCGCGATGCGACAGGCGGGATATACGGCTCGCAGCAGTCGGCGAAGAAAATGGATGATTGCTCGCGGGCCTATCTTATAGGCCACAGAGGTGGGCCGTTTGGCATACCGAAATGAGTAGCTCCATGTGTGCGTCCGTGTACGTGTACGCGTTCTTCCATTTTCTTCGCCGACTGCTGCGAGCCGTATATCCCGCCTGTCGCATCGCGCGTTCTAATTTGTCCAACTATTTTAATTAATATCTCGAAATTTCACGTAGTTGTTTGAAAAATGACCTATACAATTTTTGTTTACTTTTATGTGTTCTACTTATATTTTTCTTTTGGTCCGTCTTACGCGGGACACCCTGTATATTATATTTGTTGTCCTACACTAAAAAAGCGCTTTACTGATGTCGATAAAGGCAGCGATGCATTGTACTTGAAAAAAGCTTGTTTGACATTACAGGGACAGAATATTATAGAGAGAAAGAAAGAGAGAGAATTTGTAATAAAAATAACAATACAATTTTAATATTCCGAGTATAGATTGGCACTATAATAAAAATATAATTTTTATAATAAGACATAGTAAAAATGATCATAAACATAATAAAAATTACTATAAATGTAGTAAAAATTATAATGTTTATAATTATAATTTTTATTATGTTTTATTATAATTTTTGTAATAATGCCAGTTCTATTCCCAGACTACTAAAATTGTATTGTAATTTTAACTGCGATATTCTGTCCGTGTAAGGAAATTCGCCAGAAAATGCAGTAGAACAGTAGAGATTCAGCGTATCTTTTCATAATCATGCACTATTAAATATAATATCAATATGGTTATTTATTTTCCTAACTTAATTATATAAAAAAACTTCACAATCAAATTATGAAGTTTTTCTAACAATGTATACAGAGTATCTCAGATCACCATTTTCAAACCTCGCGAAAGCGTTGAACGGATTGAGATGAACATAAAAATCCCATACTGTTTTACGATATTCATAATAAATATTCTTTAATTAATACCTAAAAATCTATATGATCATTTGCAAAATGATAGAGGATTTTTTGTTCAGTTTTATCTAATGAATAAGTTATACAACGGTAGATAGCGTCACTACAGCTCATCTCGTACGTGATCATTCACTAATCTTCTTTAATTAATATCTCGAGATTTATTACGAATATCGCAAAACGATATTGAACCTTTTTCCGTTCTACGCTCTCGCGAAGTTTGAAAATAATGATCTGGAACACTCTGTATATTGTAAAGATTTCTTTCATTACTTCACTTTTTCCAACAGTCAAAAATGTTTTATTATTTAATATAAAATTATAGAACAAACATGAAATTTAATATTTTTCTGTCTTATATCACATAACTTCTCGTTTAGTTTTCATATTTAGTTATTACAATACATTATAAAATATTAGAGTTGTTATAATAATTAATAATGTACAGTATAGTTTATAAAATGTGTACGTATGATGTGGAAGTTCTTATAAATTTAAAATTTTTTTGTTAAATATATAATTAAGTCAACTATGTATTACAACATAGATTTTTAGATATTAAAGAAAATTGTTACATATATGATTGTGTATTATTTATAATACACAAATTTTCTTTAATTAATATCTAAAAAGCCATGTGGTCATTTACAAAATAGTAAAGGACTTTTTTGTTTAGTTTGACTTAATGTATAAGTCAAACGGCAGACGGCGCCACTGTAGCTCATCTATCATATCACGCGTGATCATTCACCAATCTTTTTTAATTAATATCTCGATTATTATTGCGAATATCGCAAAACGGTATAGGACTTTTATGTTCACCTCAACCCGTTCTACATTCCCACTTAATGTGAGAAGGAGAGTCTGGGATACCCTGTACATACATATATTGTACAGATTTTCATTTCTTCACTTTTTCTAACGGCTAAAAAAAATTTTTTTTCTTAAGCACAAAAGTTCTTTAGCACAATTATAAACAATAATCGAACCGTTTTGTCCGTTTTTAATTTGTTTCCCAACATAAGATGCATTGTATGAATTTTTTGTATGGGACAAATAGGACTCGAAGAATCAAAACCTGTAAAAAACATGACTTTTTCAAGTGCAGTCCGTGGGAAAAGAAATCACAATTTTTTAACATCTCTCCTTCGAGACACTGAAGTTCGAGTTTTCTCTTCTTAAAACATAAAACAGTGCTTTCGCGAATGTATTTAAATGCGAAATATCAAAGCATGCATTCGTATTCCCCGAACAATTACGCCTCCTCATCGAACAATGCAATAGACGCGCGCGGAAAAGTTTCTTTTGCAAGGTCAAAAATGCATAACGGCGGAAGAGAGGGAGATTTCGTCGTCTTGTGGGTAACCGGTCGTGCCGTTTCACGGAAAAAAAGAGCGAGGACGCCGGAATACCACGATGCATCGTGAGGCTTAAATCAGGAAGAGCGCGTGGAATCGCGTTTTACGATCTTGGCTCAGCGCGAGCGCGCGTTCCCGAATTTTACGATTGCGCCGGATTACCAAGTGGTCGGCGAGAGAGGGAGGAGTAGCAGAGTGGGATATCCTAGGGACGAAATGAGGGGAGGAGTAGGAGGAAGAAAGATACGAAGGATCTGTTTTTGTCGCGCGTGCAACGCGCGGATGGAACGCGAGACAGTGTGGGTGGGCCGCGCGTTAGCGGCGTCGACCGCACAATTTCGTCGCTCGGCATACACATCGTCCGGCATATCGACCGTTATCAACCATTCAATTGTTACTTTGTGGCTCGCCGTATATGGCCGTGTGTGGCGCGCGTACAGCAATAGTCGCGATCGCAATTTCGGGCGCCGCGGCGACGGCATTTTCGAGCATAAAACGAGACGCCCGCCCTGTTTATTGTCGGCACAGTGAAGGATGAACGAAATCTCGCGTGCTTTATTCGTTGCTTTGTAGGACCCTAATTACAAACATGAAATGGCTGTCTGCATACCTGTGTCGCGTATCGGCGCTCGATGTTATTATTAATCCTCGCTGTAGCGACATTTTCACAATGTGTAATAATAATAATAATGATAATAATAATGATAATAATAATGTAATAATAATCAATATTTACTGGTGTCCAGATAAAACCATGTAGATGGAGAAATTGAAACATCTCATCTATATCGAAATAGTAAAAACATATAGTATCTTCATTTTCATCTTAGATGAAAAATGTATTATTTTATCTAAAAGAAAGATTTAAGATGTTTTCGATACGATATTTAACAATTTTTTGTTTTAAAATTTTTTGTCTAGAGTTTTTAATTAGTGATATTTTATGTAAAGAAAAAATAGATAATTTATAGGTAAAAAGGGTAAATATGCTATGTTTAGAGGACCCACTTCTGATGGCCTTGTCTGTTACATATATTATCAAGGACACCCTGAGTAATATTCAAGAGGTTTTAGCCATCGCTCATTGTTTATTAAAAAGTTATTAACAAAAGAATTTTCATAAATAGAACGTAATTTTTAAACACTGTGTACATATTTAAAGAATATATACGTACTACATATAAATATATACATATTTATTACATTTCAAACCTTATTTCTCTGTTTTCATTACTTTGTTTAAATAAGATATTCTTACTTAATATGATTTGCTCAGTGTTATTATTCTTAGTCACTGTAGCCAGTCAACAGAGTTTTGTGAACGAAAACATAATACATAAATTTATTTGTATAACTTATAATTTCGAATCTTTCTTGGACTTTTTTGTGTGAAAAAAAGTCGTTCGCAATAAAATAATATATCCTGGGTGTCAGAATATGTTAAAAATAATTAACTCGTAACCGGTACAATCGGGTCCCAGGGACCCCAACTAATTTTACTTTCGTGATAATTCCTAAACTATTCACTATATGAGTTTAATATCTTCAGTACCTTTCGAGTAACAGTTTTCAATGTAACAGAAAAAAAGATCATTGAGTTATTTGTAAGTAGCTGTGAATTATATGCATTTGTTTTTCGTCTGTGGTCACAGTGATCCCACTGTACAGTAAACGTTACTTTTATGAAAATAATTATCTTAATCTTCAGCTCAATATGACTCATTCTTCACGCAAAAGAGTAAAAGCTCTAATCTTTCAGTTAGTAGAACCTAAACTTAAGAGACATCTCAATTTATTCATAAGCCATTGCGTTTAACAATTTCATCTATATTAAAAATTGGAGAAACTGAAAGATCTAAAATTATTTTGCCATCCAGAATAAGATGTAATAAATGTCCTAGAAGTAAAGATATGAAGTCCAAAGAAGTATATGTTAGATGCAATGAACCAATATCCACCAAATGTGCAAGCAAAATGTGCTATCTGTAACGATTGCATCTAAAAACCTTCTAAGATTTTAATATTGTATTTAATTTAATAATACTTGTTAAATTGTACAATGTTTATATTTTTTATATAATCTATAATCTATAGACTTAGATTAAAACATAAATTTTTTTCTTTTTCCGATTATTTGTCTTTCAATGTATTTTATTTCAACACTGTCCATATTGTGTTCATTTTATAATCAGTTAACGTTTTCTTTTAGATTACTGAAAAGCTGACTGTTATTATATATGTCTAGTTGTAATATAATATTCGTAAAGTATTATTTTCGAATTATAAATCGTTTTTCTCTCTACCTTTTATTATCATGTTAAAAAGGGCAAAAATTTATTGGGGTCCGCCGGACCCCACTATACCTGTAGTTTAACTAAAAAGGCACCGTACCTGTTACGGGTTAACGCTTATGAAAATCGTGTTTTACACCGTACGAAGAAATATTACAAAGTCACTAGAGGTCGAAAGTGACAGAGAG